ACGCATTTGGTCAATTATTTTTGCTTGATTAATAATTTGTTGTGCAGTGTTGAAACAATTTGTTTGATGTCATATTGAACTATGAAAGTTTTCCACTTAGTAATCACTAAAGATATGGAGAGAAGATTCAAAAGTCTCTATTATTGGATGCTTAATATTTTGCCAGTAAAAAATGTCACTAAGAAAAGCCAATGGTAACTTATTGTAATTTTTACGGTGATATCGATAAAAGATTATCCATATACGTATCATTGCTTCTTTAAACATTTCCCAATATCTACTACGAAAAATTATTGGGTAAAAGTCTAAAACTAATGGAATTACATCATCAAAAAAGATTAATGAACATACATATTTAAGGGTCTTTGCAATTATAAAAAAGGTTTTTGACAGATTCTTTAACTACAGCCATCCCTTAAATGCAAGTTCTAGAAGAAGATTAATTCGATATAGTTTTGGATTTTTGGCAAGGATTTTGCGTGAACCAAATACTGTGTGATACATTTTTTAAAATACAGTCTCCTGACTATTTAAGGATACATGTAGTGAACCTATAAAAGGTATCATATTAAGAATTTGCTGTAGTACATTAGATTCATCCTCCTTAATTATATAATTCATGACAGCATAATATATATTTTTTTGTCCAGAATAATCCATTAGAGTAACTAAAACATTTTTTTCAAATATACATATAGTTCTAGAATGTTGATAATTAATTGTATTACTGAAATGTAATCTTCTGTTAAATGCAAACTTCCTTCTAGAAGATCAATAAGTTTTGTATTTTACATGCTTCAGTCTTTTTTTCGTTCAGCAAACTGTATATCATAACTATATATAAGTAAACGTTTAATACGTTCTTTATAATTTTCAGATAAACCAAATAAATTTCTATAAGAATTTTTTTGTTCCTAATAAGTAATACTTAAATCTTTCATATATTTTAAATCAAGTTGAAAATTTATATTATTAAAATCAATTCCCTTCAGATTCTGAATTAACTGATCAGCATCATTATTAAATGATATAGCAGAAGCCTGTAGAGATGATTTTATAAGTATTGTTTTAAAATGCAAGGTACTACTTGTAGTAGTAGTATCAAGTCATCGTAATGTATAGATATTGTGATAGTTATCAATATTAAGAAAGATTAAATGATTTTTCTGTTTAAAATATAAAAAATATACAATTAAAAAAATACATAGTTAAAATAAAATAATTAATAATATTAAAATTAATATAAATACATTATTAATAATATAGGATCTTTGCAATAGAAAAGGGGGGAATGGCTGGAAAAAAAAAATGAGATAATGTTAAATCTGAACATATTTTGACCTAAAAATCATATTTGACATATAAAAGTAAAATTGAATTTTTTTGGTTGTTTCCCTCTTTTCTATTGCAAAAGTCCCATATAATCTTTAACAGTTTGCTGATGCAAATTATCTAGCCAGATCTTTTGTTTTTTAAATAGATTTTTTTCTAACTGTAAGTCTAATATTTGCCATACTTTCAATTGCTGATGCAGAAGTTTCTGATGCATTCAACAGAAATTCAATATCCTCTTTTACATTAATAAATTTATTGCTAAATCTAACTAAAAGATAATACATTATAATAAGTTTCTTTTTATTTCACTGATTTGTTTTAAAGTTTTTTTGTTGAAAGTTTGTATCAGCAACAAACTTATCAAAAAATCCTTATGGTTTTGATTCTTCTTCTTTTAATATTTTTTGAATTTATCTGAAGCATGAAGCATAGACTAACCTTTCACTATCTTTATGTTATTTTATATATAAATTATTAGACAATTATTACAATGAAATATATTAGTTTTTTCACTAAAAATTAATACTAAAATTTTTTTTATTAAAAATTGAAATTAATATAAAAAAAAATTTTCATGTTTTAATTTTTTTCTAAAAATTGAGGCTAAAAATTCTTTTTAAAAAGTAAAATAAAAAAAAATTAAACATAAAAAAATATTTTATTACATACTTAATTTAATTTGTTCAAGTTCTTCATAAGCTTCATGATATAAAATTTTTATTTTATTATATTTTTTTGCTGAATATAAAATATGATTATAAAGGATATATAAATAATTAAAATCTTTAATCATAACTCTTTGCGTTAGTGGTTGATAATTTGAAGATTGTTAATTTTATTCATCATGGTCTATTGTAGTAAGACATAGATTACAAATAAGTACATCCAAAGGGAGATTCAAAATAAACTAAAATCTTTTTAAAATTTTTACAAAAACATTCTTTTGTAATCATCCTCATTCTCCTTTATTATCTTTTGTATATTTTTCATATTTAGGATGAGTATATTGTTGCTTTTTCACTACTCTTGCTAAATAACAATTTTCATTTGCTATTAATTTATTATAGTGATATCAGCATAATTCCTTTTCAACTAAATTCTCATTAAGATTTATTTCAAGAATCTTAACTTTATTTGTTACACTCTTATGCCATTGACAAGGTCATCACAAGTATCATCTTTTAGTGAGCATTTATTAGATTTTGACATTATTATAGTTATTATAAAATAAGAATTTTAATATATTATACCTTATTAATTCTTTATAAACTCAAATAATATAAATGACATATTATGCTTATTTTTATTTATAAGAAGTTTTCAAATGTTTATAACTTCTGAATTCCTCTTTCAATAACTGGATTTTTTTGTAAAATATTTAAACATAATCTGAAAAATCAATTTTTTTTTGTCCTTCACTATTAAATTTTTTGTAACACAATTTAAATTAGATTAATACAGTTATCATATACATATATATTGTGATACATCTGATATTCAGTCAATAAAAATATATATCTAAATACAAACAATTACTTCAATATTACATCATTTAAAATTATTTGAAAATGTGATGATTACTTAAATTTAATTATTATTTAAGTAAAAATAATACATATGCTGATCATCATGTGATTATTTAAAAATCAAAAAGCTTACTATGCTCATTATACTGACATTTGACAACTAAAATTTTAAATAATTTTATTACATTTAATCAGATTTATCATGCATACTTCAAATTACTAATCCTATCTCTTAATTAATGAACAAATTCTAAAAAATGAACATGCCTAATAATATAAACTAATCCTGATTTTACAAAAATACTTAATACCTTGTAATAATCCTACTATGTCAATAAAAATTTTGATAAAAATAAAGAAAATAAAATAAATGCATATTTGAGGATTTTTTATTTGCATAAAGAAAATTTTTTAAAAGCTTATTACTAAATCACATGGGATAATAAATTCTTTGAGATTCAGAACTATCAGAAATTCAAAAATGTCAGATTTTGAATATCATTTTTTTGGGCTATCAGGATTCTGATTATATTTATACATTGTAATTTAATGATTCTTTAAAAGATTTGTACAGTTAATGTTAAATTTTAAATAAAAAAATATTTTATTAAAGAATATTTGCTACATTATTTTTTTTTAAAAAAAAGTTTGTAGTTTATTATTTGTAACTAAATTAACGTTAATAATTAATTATTTATGAAAATTTCAAATAAAAGTATAATTTAATAAAATAAATAAATAATATCTATTGATTTTAAATTGAACAATATTGTTTAATAAAAAGATGCGCACTTTCAGTGAATATTTATCAGGATTTATATTTATGAATTGAATTAAATTTATAAGGATATTATTATGTTTATTATTTATAATATAGGCAGTTTGCTATTAAAATTGAGTTACGAATATAGTGAATCATATAATTTTTAAAGTGATTTTAATAGCTTACTTTTTATATGTTGAATCAATTTTTAATATTTAAAATAATTAATTATACATATATTTTTCAAAGTATAAAAAGTGATTTTAACATAACTAGTGAAGAATATATAATAATTTATTCATCTAATTATTTATAATTTTTTAATTAATTTCCTATTATTATACCGCAGGTAATTTTTTACTAGTAATACAATTGTAATAAATATTTGTAATGTTTTTCAATGATAATCATATAAGATTCAAGTAACTAAGGAATTTGAAATATCGTCAAACACATTGTATTACTAGAAAAACTCACCACTATAACATTTTCTTATGGTATTCGCCTTTAAAATATATCTTCTTTCTTTCAGAGTTGATTTCTCAAAATGTCGATAACACTATAAACACTACTGTCACTATCACTAAAAAGGGTTTCTCTATGCTCAGATCTCTAGTATTAAGCAAAAAGAAGATTTAAATAGCAAAAAAAACTTCTCAACATCTGATTTCTAACCTATGAATTGATCAGTGACATCAGCTTAGATGTCAAAATCAAATGATTGTAACTTAAGACTTTATTAGAATAATTAAGTTGTGGAGGAGTCTTAGAAATTGTGGTTACTTATCATAACTAACTTTGCTAATTTGCCTTCTACTTTATCCAGTATATATTCTTCCTTTATACTACAAAGCTCGTGATTTTCTTCAATGATATAACCTCTAATGAGCATGAATTTTCTCATGATATTCTTGCAATTAATACTGTCTTCATCTATTGAATGCAAGAAAAAAGAGCTATGGTGCAGCGCATCTATAGTCATCAACGAATTTAGTGTAACTTCTTGTTTTATCTAGTCCTTCAATTATTACAATTTTTAAAATTAAAATCAGTAAAATAATAGATTAGGCTATGCTCTTTCAATCTATCGGTTTATATTTTAGGTAGCATAATTTTTGGCTGAGTTATTAATGAATAAAATCCCAAAGTTTTATTAATAAATACCATAAATTCGGAATGATCTAAAATTATCTAACCAATAAACGATTCTTATTTCACATGATAAATCATGTGCTTCATAAATCAAAATCTATGATTAACGATAAAAAAAAATCAAATTTTTTTTTTAACTCCGTTTTTTTTTGATTTGATTTATCGAACACATCGAACACATCAAACACATATATTTGTTTTTAATTGCTTCAACTAAATTAAGTATGCCACAAGTAAATAACAAAAAAAACTCTACAAACAGCAGCTTCGGGTAACGGATGGCAGATTTGAGCCAAAAAAACCAATAAATAACAACAATTTTCAGGTTCCTATTAATACCAATGATAATGAAGAGGTTGATAATGATGTTGAATTAGATGTTGCTGGTTATATAAAAGAAGGATGTAGTAATGATGATGATAGTGGATGGGAAGATGAGATTAATTTAGAAGAGGATAAAGAAATTCAATCGAAATTAATGACGGTATTGTTAGGTGATTATTCTTTTATTTAATCTTTGGTAATTTAATGTTTTCTTTATTTTAAATTTCAGACTAATAAAAATATTTAATGACTATAGATGCGCCGCACCATATCACATATTACATCATATATACTTTAACGAGGATCAGAAACACATTTTATTTATGTCGCACACGTCAACATGCATTGTGACTGGACAATATATTATTTTATTAAGACAATATTTGGGATTTGAATCAAGGACTGATCTGAAAAATTCAGCACACAAACTCACAATTATCATCCAAATCTGAGAAATTCACAGTAACATCCTTTCCGTAAATATAGTATAAGAATTCTAATGGCAGGAATCGGCATATTCTTTGTATTTCTGTCAATTTATCTCTATATTTCTCGCAATCTGAAATTCTGATGATGTTTTCAAAGTTATATTTTTTATTAATATGATAATATTTGGGATTCTGTAACCATTTTAACATGTCAGACCAGCCTGTACTTCTAACAACTATATAGCCTTGCTGATATAATACTCTAAAAGTAGCTATGTATGCTACAGTACATAATCATCTATATAACTGATTTTTCTTTGCTTCTACCCAAGTATCAGCAAAATAAATGTTATGCTTATTTTTTACATAAAATCGGTCACTCACATAATTAGATTCTATTAGTATTCCATTAATGAAATGATATGTTTTATCACGAGAAACAATATCTAAAAACTTCTTATTGTTAGAAGTACCATCATTTCTCACTGCCTCCCAAACCTGTTTTACCAAAGACTCAGGTCTTTTTTTTGTAATTCTTGTAAGCTCGCTGGATAACTACTGCATAGAAATTTTCAAACTGATAGTTGTATTATCTCGCAATCAAGAATCCCCAAGATTGTTTCATTGATCTTTCTGAACTTCTTGAAAAAAATACTTTATTAAAATAGTTATAGATTCGAGGATCTAACCTAGAATAGGTAGGTAGATCATACATAGTAATACATTTCATACATAGCATCTTCAACTAATTTTACTAGGCGATCATGCATGCAGATTATATAGCTATCATTTCACAAAAAAATAAAGTATAAGCTATGTTTGGCTAAATATAATTAAGATATATAATGCTAATATTTGGTTGAAAGATATTGCGAAGCACCTTATTGGCTAATGGCTAAGTCTATTTTCTTCCTGCACTTTTTTACACAGAATCGAAATATGCTTCAGCAAGATCACCCAAACTAGTCCTGCTAGAAATATTAGATATATTTGATCGATCGTTCCAAAGATTTCTAATCTCAGGTGTACTTGCATTACGTTACCTGGTAGGTAAAATATAAGCTAGCTCGAAATTTGAAGTATTTGGCATAGTAATTTTTGCTACGGTTGCTTTAGATTGTGCATAATTTTTATAGCTAGCCGTAAAATTCCCATCACAATCATATGATACTAATGCCAATTTATCCTTTTCTGAGTGTGAGATAGATGGGGATGAAAGCTCTAGCTAAAGACGATTAACTTTAGCCTCTTCTTGTAATATGTATTATTTATATTGCCAGATCTAAAATTTTCTTCTATCAATAGTTTTGAGAATTTCATTTCTTCTTGCATGTTCATTTGAAATAGTATTTCCAGAAATACATCTTTTCAAGTAACTATTATGACTGCAATGGTTGCTATAAAAAGTTCCAGGTATGAAAACTAAGGAGTCACATATACTACAATATATATTATTTGTTCGATTAGTGTGGACTTTATCATTTTCATAAAACTTTCCATACATTATAATATATCTATTCTTAGAAAGGATTCTTGGATTCTCTTCAAGTATTTTTCTAAATGGACCACGGATACGGGAACACCACATTTCTGGTGTTTCGTGATTATGTCTTTTTGTTAAAGGCAATATTGCAACAAGTATTCTTATATATTCTTCAGAGCCTCCATAAGTATTGTTTGCATCAATTAGTTTAGAATAGGTTCTACTATCTAAATCCATAATAGTGTTTTAGTAAATTATAACGATTTTATGATATTGTTGATTTATAAGCGTTTTTAGCGAATTCTAACAATTTTTTAGCAACTTATACTATAGAATATCATCATTCAAATTTATACAGATTTATATAGGGTCATATTAGTGTCATATCTCAGCTAGGCTAATTTTATATTTACATGCAGTTTGTAAATCTTTCATGATTAATAGGAATTAGTCGAAGGCGTTGCATTTGATGTATAATATAAAAATTTGTATCATCCTGGCTCTCAGACAGTTCTCAGCACTTTCTCGCAACCTTCTCGCAACTCAAATCATGAGATGAGATAAAAGTTTTTCGTGAGGGTTAAAAAGAAGAAGAGAAGTCTTATTGGAGAACATTATTACGTCTGTATTAAAGCAGGATTTTTTCATATCTGTAAATAACTATATTAGTTTAGTAAATTTTGTATTTTTTCATGACTGTAAGTGCAATGCAGTAGAAATATGAAAGCAAAAGTAATTAATAAAAATTAATAAATATCAATACCACTTGTAAAACATGAAACACGTTTAAAAATTCAAGTAAAATCTTTATTTATTATGTAATATAGCCAATTCGTTAAGTAAAAAATGAATAAAAAAATGTAAAATAATAGATTGAAAGAGTGGAGGAATGTAATTATTAAAATAAATGATACTATCAAAGAGTGAGGGAGTTTTCGGATCCTAAGCCATAAATGAGAGTCCCAACATCAAGTTATTTTACAATATTATCTCTACCGATACTTCCTCTAATGCTACTACTACTACTACTGTTGTTACTACTGGTACTATCAGAAAAACTAACTGATTTCTTATTTCCCTCCTTTTCAACCCATTCGATAATTTTATCTATAGAAGTTCTTCTTTGATGACGATAAAAACTAGCTAATGTGCTAGCACTAAGACCAATTTCGATTGATAAAATATTGTATAATTGAGTTGGAGAACGACCTTCTCTTTTCCTCCTGTTATTAAAAAGGGCCGTAAACTCGACCCAATATGTTTCATATTCATCCATATATTCGAAATATTGTCTCATGAAAACGTGACTTATAGAAAAGAATCGGTTTGATCCTGCTAAAAATAAGGCGCAGTTTGGTGCAGATAAGTATACATGCATAATTGGTATATTTTTTTTCTAATACATGACCTACCTTGAGATATCGCATCATTTCTCCATTCGGCTTTTGTACGCATTTTCTGAAACTCATTGCTTAATGTTAAGACTGTTCTTTCAAGATTTTTATCTTGCAATCCCATTAGATATTTGCGAAAAAAGAAGATAGTAATAGCAAAGATTAAATAAATGCTTATATTTCCCGAAAAAATGCTTTGGATCATTTCCATAATTAGGACACCACAGCTCAGCATCTTATAAAATACAATTGTGACGCTAAAGATTGCAATTAAGAAAATATCTGAGTTTGAGAACATTTTTTAGATAGATAAATTTTTGTTTTATGTGAAATTGATATTTTTACTTGTTGGAGGAAAAGAAATATCAAAGCGCTTCTCTAGAAATATCCCTTTAATATGTTTTACAATCGCCTGGCAAAATTAAATACCCATATATACTAGCATAGAGAACTCGCATTGAAATGTGGATCTGGAATAATCGTGAAATGTTATCATAATTTTTACTTCTATTTCTGAAAAAGAAAATTATCAAGATCCTGTCCGGCGCCTGTACTTAAAGACAAAAAAAGTTAGTGCATTCCCATATCCCATACCCCCTTATCCCCACAATATATTCAAGCAATGAAATAATAATAATATTTTTTCGTAAATGCTTGGCCGTGAGCTCTTACGCAAGAGTAAAGTTTTTTATTAATAAAAATATAACAAATATTCATTAGGTAGCTTTGCTATTATGTATATACAGAATGTAAATAAGCTATATTATAAAGTCCTATTCTCTTATTTCATTTTTGACTAAAGAAAGATCAAAGGAAGAACTAAATTTCCAACTAGATTTTTCTCGCTTTGATTATATAGGAAGATTGGAGTTCTTCTTTCGTTCGTGATGCAGTTTAGTATAAAAAACTTCATTATCGTAGGTAAATGCAGATCAAAACATAAAGTCTGTTGGAAGGAAATAGGCAGGGTATTTATGAAAATTTTCAGTTGACTATTTTGCCAATAAAATCATCAGAAGCATTGACGTAAATTTTATACTCCTTGTATTCCATCCACGATTTGCAAATATGCACAGCTTATCTAATAAAATATACTGCTTATTTGATATGACCCCTTCTTTTCAGGTGAAAAATTGCGCTAAAAGTAAAATCTGATGAACATGCTAAACTGATATATTATAATTTTATACTAACAGAGTAATAGGTATATCTACCGTTTATTATCTAGATTTACCGATATGCCCTTATTGCAAAAAATCAGAATAAAGAATATTCATTGTGGATTGAGATCTGTAAAAATAGTAGATGATAAATCACCTATGCTGGATTACGTACTGCTAATTCTTATTCAAAAAATGGATTAAGATGTGATTAGCCTATAGACGTAATTTATATGCGCTAATAGAATAATAAAATTTACCGTTTATCTGAGAATCTGCAAATCATAGATTCTAATTGCTCTATTTCCATTTTTAAATTTCTTTTTAACGACGTCTTGTCTTACGATCTGCAAAACGTAAATCAGGGATGTGGTTTTTTTATTAGTAATTCAGAACTGCGTAATGAGTGAGATAGAACATACCAGAACTTCTTTCAGCTTGGCGTTAGGGAAAGTTCATCAGTATGTCAACACAAAAATATTACTCTTGGCCAGGGTTATTAATAGATTCTCTAAAAATAACAACTGCAGATGCTGGTGACGTACTACTGCGCATAGAATATTCTGCAGAATCACATGCGTTTACTATAGAGAAGAATAGATGACGCTTTACTATGCACGATATCTAAGCCACCTACGTGATTCGAAAAAATAATGTGAATATATATGGCAATCTTACATTGCACAACCTATTCTTCGGCAAGAATTTTTTCGATAATGCACTGGGTGACGGTCCATATGACAGAGTTTTCTTCTATGCTTTTACAGATACTATTGGAATGT